TACTTATAAATGCCTGGCTGATAACTCAGGCTTGTCATTAGCTAACTCTTACAGTTAAATTAACTCATATTTCTTATCTATACTTCACCACGTGGTGCATGGCATCTCTGCGACTTTGCCTTCTTTCTCCCAATATCTGTTTGGATTTCCTACCTAGCTATATTCTGCCATGCCATGGGCCAAAACAGCTTCTTTATTAACCAATGGTAATAAAACGTAGTCACAGCATACAGAGGGGAGTCCCATTTTAATACAGCATGCAGGCCCAAATAGATTTAGTAATTATGTTTGTTTATTCTTTTAATAGATATCAGACACATAAAGAGTTTATACTAAGGATGAAAGTGGGAAGAGTTAAAAAAGTAAGTTGAAGTTGGAGATCCAGCTGTTTTCAGGCAAATAATATTACTGGACTTGTGTTGTATGGTCTTGAAGTTGTCTAGGTGAATTTTTAAAAATGTTTTTCTACATGATATAGTTTCTGTATCTTTCCTGCAGCTCTTATTAGCATAAAATGATCCACAGTAATAATAAAAGAAGTGATAATAATAAAACACAACATTATCCAGTGAAATATTTCCTATGTGTTAGGTTCTAAAGATGACCTGAATTCTAGAGTCACAGTTTGTTTTCTGCTTGGAGACATAACTAAACATCAGATTGTGAAAATATCGACTGTGATAAGTGGTATAAAGGGTGTCTGTGTAAGGGAGCGTTTGAGCAGTTTAGGGAGATCAATAAAGACTTGCTGGGGATAAAGTTCATCTTCAGCATTTGTAGGATACAAAGTGAAAACGAGAGGCTCTTGCTTACAGACTGTAAAGACTCCGGGACTGGGACAGCAGAGTGCTTAACTAGGCCCTTGCTGAGTGCCATCTCTGTTCAGCTGCAGGGGTCATAAGTTCACACACCGGACTACCTGAGAGGTGATGACACAAGAGAGCATTCTAGGTGGAGGAAACAACACAGGAGAGGCCGGGGCCGGAGAAACTGGATGGAGTGCAGACTGGGAAGCTGACTTTCCAAAGGCCAAGAAGGATCTGGGACATCATGTTGAGGGTTTGGGTCTTCATTCCAAGTACTACACGAAACTCTCGGTTTGGTTTAGGCATAAATAACTTGGTAGTATTGAACAACCCTTTCTCACAACTTCTGGTTTTTACCAACCCCCTTTTAAGAAAACTTTTAGTTTTAACTTTTCTAGTTATTCTGAGGCCGCTCCTTCTCTAAGGATGTTTAAAATGGCCTTTCATACATACTGGGAGTGACTTAGTTTAAGTTGAAAGTACATAGGGGTAAGTGATATGAAATATTTCCTACTGAAGTAGTTTTATTATCTAAAACATTGCAAGTCAACTGAAGAATAGTTATTTAAAACTGAATAGGCTATTTATTTATTTATCGGGTTTTCAAGACAGGGTCTCTTCGTGTAACAGCTCTGGCTGTCCTGGAATTCATTTTGTAGACCAGGCTGGCCTCGAACTTACAGAGATCCACCTGCCACTTCCTCCTGAGTGCTGGGATTAAAGGCATGTGCCACCAACACCCGGCTGTTTTATTGTTTTAAAAATAATTTTAAAAATGCTACAAGTATTATGTTTATTGTCATCACTATGCTTTAAAAGTGTTCACTTCCCTTTATTTGGTACATAGTATAACTCAGAGCAAGTGGTGGAGTGGGAATTGGTTTGCTCAACATTTGGAAAGAGAAAATGTCCTTTTGGATGGCCCCTTTAGTCAGGTGTCCACAATAAAAGTCTTTAATTATTGTTATTCACAACAAGAAATAATTATATTTTGCCATGTGTGGGAGATAATTGTTCATGATTCTTGGGTCTACTTACATCAGTGTTTCTCATCCTTATGTGACCTTTAATACAGTTCCTCATATTATTTCATTGCTACTTCATAACTGTAATTTTGCTGCTGTTAGGAGTTGTAATGTAAATGTCTGAGATGTTTGAGACTCACAGCGTGAGAACTGCTGATGTGGATAGACCGGCACCTCCGTGGGTTAGAGGTCTAGCAACATGCCTGCCCCCCAACATGGGATTTTCTCTTTTGGTACACTTATAGAATAGCACTAGTGATTTCTCTTTCCACATTATAATTGTTTAAACTAGGCCACGTAGACTATGCCAAAAAATTAGTGTTGTTTACATGCTCTGAGATGCTCAGGGGTGAATTAGGTAGCAGCTCATTTTCTGCATACAGTTTCTCATCTGTTGATCCATGGCACTGAATTCTCAGGTGCTAAAATAAAATTGCTATAGAGTTTCATCAGTCTACTTGCCTTTTTTAAATTGGTGTGTTCTATTTGTGAAGAAAGTATCAAATGTTTGGTAGTTTCTTCCTGAGACTTTATTTTCAATAACTTATCAGTTGAAATATAGTTTATATATTGTACCAAGCAAAACATTGCCCTCTTCTACCTTAGTTTCCAGCTGTAGGTTTTTCATACCAGATTTATAGGTAGCTTACTTTCACTCAGGTAGAATGTTGCAAAAATTCTATTGCTTTTATATACTCTATTGAATTAGGTCTGGAGAATCCATCATAGTGAAGGTGGTGATAAATTAAATTAACTCTCTGTGTGTATGTGTGTGTGTGTTGAGTTTGAACCCAGTGCTTTATGTTTGCTAGGTGAGCACTCTGCCCTGAGCTACTGGAATTACTGAAGCTTGAGTTAATGTTCACATTATAGCTCATATCATAAACCAATAGAGTAACTTCTAATTTATCAATAAACACACTGCAAATAGCATATATTTAATGATAAATTGTTTTGAAAATTTGCAGTCTGTGTCTAGTATAGAGACAAAATAGCTAAACAAATTGAAATTACCAAAATATTTTATAACAACCCACTACAATAATATTAAGCTGCTTATCCATTTTTAAAGAATGAAGTATGATAGATTTTAATTAAATGTTCAATTTCTTTTTTTTACTTACAATGAGTAGGAACTGTATGCAAGATATGTACATTATGGCTCATAGAAAGGTATAGAACACATGTATTCTCTCAGAAACTGAGTTTAATATTTATTTATCTTTTGGAAATTTTATAAATGTTATTTTGGTACTATTGCTTTAGCCACATTTTATGTGGTGCATAAAATTAAATATTTGATGATTATGGACCTTATAATAAATGAGTCTCATTGTGTTGTTTAGAGAAGTTAATAGTATAGGTATGTTGACTATATAATCTATCCTAAAAAGTTACTTTTGAATAATTTGCTAATGGCAGCTTATTTTTGTTGCTTTGATTTTTAAGAATTGTACTATGTAGGCTAATTGGGTTCTTACTGAAGTTTTACTTTGTTAAAATGTTTACAGTAAAATATAAATATTTAGCATCACTACATTTTTTGGTATGTGTGCCGAAGGCCAGTAGCCTTTACATATATGCACAATATTGTAGCTAACAGTATAGAAAACTATTCCTGGTCCATTATATGCTTAATTATTTCCTAGTATTATCAGTAAATGTGTACTTAATTTTATGTATATTAATTAGGTTAAATGTAAGATTTGCCCCTTTTGATAATACTATGTTTTTTATAATCATTCTAAAGTATAAGAAATTTAAGTGTTTTTTACCTATTGCCTCTTAAATGATTCATCTTAAAATGAATTACATATATAGGTTTCTTTTAAAAATCAACTATAATTATATATTAAAATGATTTGTTGCTGTGTCAGAGACTAGATTAACATAAACAGTTAGAAGACTATCATTTATTAACTATCATAACCCACTTTCTTGCTGATAGCAATTATAGTTGCTTTATAGGATTAGTTTATGCTTTATGTCCTTTACAGAGGTGAAGTTAGTAAATGAGATCTTGATAATCCTGTATATTCTGTTAATACAACTATTGCTTCTTTTTTACTTTTTATTTTTAAAATATTTTTTTAAAGTTTTTGTTTTCAGTACATCTGGTGCGAAGTTCCTCCTCCCTCCACTCCTTCCATTTCCACCTCTCCTCTCTCCCAGGTCCACTCTTCTGTTTTTGCTTCTTCGGTTTGTTTGTTTTGTTGTGTGTATGTGTGCGTGTGTGTTTTCCTTTTCCAAGACAGGGTTTCTCTGTGTAGTTTTGGTTGTCCAGGAACTTGCTTTTGTAGATCAGGCTAGCCTGGAATTCACAGTCTCCTGCCTGTGCCTCCTGAGTGCTGGGATTAAAGGCAGGCACAGCCACCACCACAGGGCAAAAATCATTTTGCTTCTTAAGCACAGTTGATCAGAGTCTTTTTAGAATTGAGTGCTTTTCCTTAGCGCTGGTGGATTTATAGCTAGCTTCTCCTCCAACTTCAGTCTTGTGTAGACAGGAGAGTAAGGGTCAAGGTCAAGCTTCATTATCAGGCTTAAAATTAGTTTTACTGACTTTGTTTCACCTTGTAATTCTTAATGCCTATGATGCATTAATGCTTATCATTTTGTAGGGTGGCTGTCCTGGAGTCCAGGCAGTGGAGCCTTCTAATGTTCACTGGGATGCCTGTGTTTTTGCAGTACTACTTTTAAAAAAAGGAAAGGTGGACGGTTGTTAACAGATGTGTGTTTTCTTTCATCTAGTGAGGGAAAGTTTACTTTTTGAAAAGCTTACAGTAAAATGTTCTCAGCATTATTTATTTTTTGTGCTGAATAAAATACCAGTATTTTGTTGTATAAACATTATTTTGCATATAGCTATTTTTAAGGAAGCTAATTTTATGTTAATTGGGCAAGATATTCCCTCTTTTTCTATGAAAAACCTTATCACCACACAATAAACATTAAAACAGTCTAGCCTTCTTAAATAGGCTATCCTGTGGTCTAAGGTAGTATGAGTCATTGCTGTAGTTAAGTGTCACCTTAGCTTTGAAATGCTTTCCAGTGTGCACACTGATGGATTTGCTGAGTATTGATATGCTTTCCAGTGTACACACTGATGGATTTGCTGAGTATTGATATGCTTTTGCCCATGTGCCTGATTATCGTTGCCTTGTTTCTGCAGCCACAGAACCTTGGCCTGAAAATGCCACCTTATATCAGCAACTGAGAGGTAGGTTCTTATTCACAATTAAAATGGCTTTGTGTTAGAATATACTTATAACCAACAATAAACCCCCAAGCTAAACTGAACCAGCTGACCAGGCAAATAAACAAACGAAACTCGCTGCATCCCCCAAATGTACGAATCCAATTGAGAATGTAAAATACAAAGAAGGATTCCCTTGTATAATTTGTCTATGAGGTTTTGCCTAAACTTGTATCTGCCAGGTAACCAACTATTCATAGCCTATAAGGTCCTTAGTTTATTATTGACTCGTTATATTGGTTGCTATAGGCAGTGTAAAATGATGTGGTTGCAGGAGCACTTGGCAGATTTACTGCACCAATAGCTGAGACAGCAGATTTTCCAAGTCCTGTGGTAAAGCGGGCTCTCAGTAAAAAGGAACTGTTAAAATGTATAGGCTAGGATGGTTCAGGCTCCCTTTAGCAGCTCTTCATATATCATCAGATCACATTATGGACCCCATTTGGGGCTCAGCAGCCTGCTACAGTTGTCAGAAGACTGCAAAGTAATGAAGACTAATAGGCAGCAGCCCCCGTCTTCTAAGCATGGAATTTTTATTGCAGCGAACTTGTCATCTTTCTTTTGTGTGACAGACCTAGACACACAGAGCAATATTAACTGTAAGCTGGTTTATGTGGTTGTGAATACTTTTACTTTAAACTAGAGAGATTTGAACAGATACTATTTTAGTTCATTTTAATGAAAAGAAAAAATACTTTTTTAAATTGTAAAAATGGATGTTTCTAAAAAACAATTTTAATTGCTGAAAAAATGAGATAAATGATCAGATAATTTTAGAATGTCCCTATTTTATCATAACTTACACATGATAATTTAATTGAAACTGTTACATGGCAGCATTGATATAAAGCTTCATAATTGCTTTAGTGTCGGATATCCTTTTTTAAAATAGAGATAACTTTTATAATATTTAATATATTTTGCTTATTTAGCAGTTAAACTTTGGACTCATACCTTTCTTTATGTTTCCACAGGGGAGCAAATTTTGCTTTCTGACAATGCAGCATCTCTTGCTGTGCAGGTAAATATGTAAATAATGTAATTTTGTTCTTTGTGCTAGAGGATGTATATCATTTTGAGTTGCACTCCACCCCCTACTGAAAGTCTGGTATTGTATGTTTAGAGTTTTTCTGTATGACTTAACCATTATTAGTATAATCTTACTCTTCTGTGAAGTATAATTTTATACAGTATTTTCAGTTGTCAGTATGTAAAATACACTTTATTATCTATTCCTTTAAGCAAAATTACTTTTAAGAGGACGACACATTCGATCTTAACAGTTGTTTTGTTTTTGGTTAGATACACTATTTTACTTGGGGCAATAATTTTACTTACATACTCAGAATTATTTTCTAAGTTATTTGTAGTTACTCGCTACATATTTTAATCATTCTGCTTGTTATACACATGCTAACTTAATTCTGTCAGTTTTGAAGCAGATAGATTCTTTCTAGCTATTCCTCATATATTTATTGATTGTATATGTGTTTATTATTACCAGTCCACTTATTGAGTGCAATTGCTTTTTAAATTTAATGTTACGTTGTATAATCCAAAAAAGATTTTTGGCAATGTGAACTTAAAACTGTGCTATGGAATATATGGAGAATTGTTTACTTGAAAAAAGTAAATGTTTCTGTAGGTTATAAAATTAAATAAATATTTTATATATTTAGCTGCTGGGGTACTTAGCTTCTGTAGTTTGCAGCACAAAGGAGATTGACTGTACAGCATGTAAAAAGGGTCTGTAATGTGTGACATTTATTGGAGGTGAGACTGTGGGCTCCTGGAGGACAAAGAGAAAGAAGGAGAGAAAGTATTTTGTCAAGCTTTTGTCGTATTGGAGGCATAATGCTAAGCATTTAATTTTAGGTCATCTCATTTATATTTTTTATTTAATTTGATAACCACTGGGTTTAATACCACTGTCTGATATTGTCATTCAGTGAGGCTGTAGATGGTATGGTATTCAGTTCATCTTTGTTTTAAGGCAGAGAAGGAAAGAAAAGATGGGAAGAAATGTGCTTGGACAGAAATTTATTAGTTGGTGGATCTATTATGTTTCTTTTACATTTGTCTTGTATCTATCTTTTACCAAGAATATAAATTATAATTTTTGCCTTTATTTTGTCTTTGAATTCTATTTAACTAATTTTTATTTATTTTTATCTTAACTTTTGATGAATAAATTTTCAGTTATGTGTAATACATACAGCCTTTGTACAGCTTTTGTGAGATACATGGAATTTAACATTTTGCACATACACACAGACACACACATACACACACACACACAAACACACACAAACACACACAAAACATAGCTGCCTGGAATAGAGAATGCACCCAATAGATGTATATTGTGTAAATGGTTTCTTAGTGTGGTGAAGCAATCTTGCCTGATAAATGACTGCACAAATAAATTATTTGCTGTATATAAAATAATATTTTCAGTCTTTATATCTTTGAAAAGATAGCCTCAGAGCACAGTGAATATTTTAGTTGAAGCACTGTTTCTTGACCCCTTTTAATTGCCGTTTGGGCGGTAGCACTTTAAGGATCTAACAAAGCTAATTAACATTTTTTCCTCAGAAAAATCTCCTACTGCATGCAGAAAAAGAAATGTGCCCAGGCTACTTTGTATGTATTTCAATATATTTGCTCCTTACTGAAGTCGTCTAGGGATCCCTTACAAAGAGCCCTTAGGATGAAATAATATCATAGAGAGTACTGCAGTGATTAATTTTGAACAAATAGGACAGAATTTTGGGTAGGAATAGACTAATGATTCTCAGCTAGGGAAGAGTTTGGCTCCTTGAAGACATGCAGTGGTTAAGCACGTGGGTTGTCAGAGCTGTTGGAGGAATCCATTGCATGTCCCTATTTGGTGGACTCCAGATCTGCCGCACACTCGCTGTTCCACAGTGGATAGGTCAGTTCTACCATGAGCTCCCCAGTTCCGTATATAAAGGGTGCCAGACTTGAACAGCCAAAGTCTAAGTGGTTTAATCAGTTTCTATACAAAGCAAAATAGCAGAATATTACCATTTTAAAAAGTGATGTTTAAGTTTTCCTTGGAAGGGGAGATAAAAAGACCCAGCTTGGTAAATATTATTGTTGTTATGTTTCCTTTTAATTTGTTTTCTCACCATAGTTTCTCAAATCACATGAAAATAACACCAAAAAAGACCTTTTAAAATAATTGAATTTTGCTTAGCCATTTCAAATTTTTATCCTACATATGTCACTTAGATGATAAATTAACCAGCATATATTAAAAATTCTTGGTTTTCTTCAATATTCTTTGACTTGACAGCTGATAGTAGCCATGACTATAAATGCGACTTTCTCACATATCTGATATAAACTTTATGGAGTAATTTTCTTCTGTATAGAGCAACAGCATCTGTTTAGAAGAACGAGCTAAGGACTTTATGTCTGATGTATAAAATTGATCAAAACAACGTGACAAGTATCTATAAACTGTTTATTTTCTAGAAGATACCAGATATAAAATATTAGACATTTTAATAGTCCACCAATTATGCCATCAGGAAATTTAAATTTACTTAATCACATAGGCAGGTGTTTATTATATTCTGAAAGCTAACTTCTTGACTATTTTTAATGGTAGGCACCTTTATGACTTCAGTTTAAAAGAAAATAATTTTCCTCCCGGTGATCAGTTCCCCTGTGATTTGCTGTCTCTGTATCATCTGTCTACAAGTTTAGGCTTACCTGAGTGCTGCTTGGTCGTAATGTGCTCTTGATTGCTGACTGTGGTGAAAAGTTAGCCTGATATATTCTCATGGGCTCAGTGTTTATGTAACACTGTGCACACACGTGTAGACACAGTTCTCATTTTAAAGTGCTTCTTTGAGGGATTTAGGCTTATAGTGATTCGTAAAACAAACCTGATAATTCCATTACTATTGTCTCTTACTCTCTAAACTTAGACCAACTATCTAGTAGATAATATACTGCTAGCTACTAAGTAATTCAAAATTTCTAGTAGCCTCATTTAAAAAGTAGTTAATTTTAGTAATGTTTTACTTAGCCCAGTATATCAAAATATCATAAAATCAATAGAAAATTTGTTTTACTTTCTTCAAATTAAATTCAAAATCTGATGTGTACACCTAGAATATGTCTGTTTGTGCTAGTCATATGCTCAGGCATATGTGAGTGCTGGCCCTTGTATTGGACAGTGCTAGTTTAGAAATACAGCGTGAACAAGTGACTATGAATACATAGGAATTCTTAAGCTTTTCACAAAAGAAAAACCCCGCTTTTTAAAAGTAAGAAGTTCTGGGTGTGCACTTTATCCCTTTATTCTTAGCACTCAGGAGGCAGAGGCGGGCACAGAGGCAGGCATATCTTGTCTGAGGCAGTCTGGGCTACATGGTGAGTTCCAAGACTGTCAGGGCTATATAGACCCTGTCTAAACGTCTCTGCTGTTTCAGTTAGAAACAGTAGATATAGATATTTATATGTAATATATATATTATTTTATAACAAATTCCACAAAGAGAAATGGGCAGTTTATCCCTGTTCCAAGGACGGTATGCTTTAAGAACTCTGTTTCAAGTTTCTTCCTTTGTAAAATAGACATAAGGTAGTTACTGTCCTGTTGGCAAATGGGAATCGAATGGATTAACATATTTCAAACATTTAGAAAGATACTTGGAGTGTTATAAATATGCAGGGGATGCTGATTATTTCCTTATGTTCTGATTCTTGGCAGAAATACATTTAATCAGTTTCAACAAGATAATTAGAAGCTTACAAGCTTGATAATGCCTAAAGAACACCACTGGGAATAAATATTATATATAAGGTTTTAAAGGGAACATTAACATCAATAATTTTTATAACCACATTAAATACAGGATTTTATGAATTCTCTGATAGTTTCATACATGGATTTTGTTCATGTTTACCCTACTACTCCTTCCCCAACCTTCTAGATCCATTTCCCATCCTCACACTTTCCCAACCTCTTGTCCTTTTGTCTTCTTTTTGTTACCCACCAAGTCCACTTTCTGCTGCCTGTATAATTATGGGCATGAAGCTGTGCACTGGAGCATGTTTTCATGCTATGCCAAATATGTTGATATTCAATGCGTAAACCTAATGTTATTTAAGAATATTCAGATTTGTTTTAAAATTTAATATTAAATATGATTGTGTATAACCAACTCTTCGAAAGCTTTTATGTAAAGTATTATGATCAGTTCTTACCATAGCCCAATGTAGGGTGCTACTATTACCCTTTTTTAAAATGTGGTACTAGAGAGATGTCTTAGAGGTTCAGAGCTCTGGCTGCTCTTAGTTGCCAGCATTCACCTGGTGGCTCACAGTTGTAGCTGTAGTTCCATGCATCACATGGTGCAAAGATATACATGCAAAACACCCACAAACATGAAAAAAAGAAACAAACAAATCAAGATGTGGCACATAGCCATAATCCTAGCATTTTGGAAACTGAGGCAGAAGGATCATCATAAGTCAAGCCCAGCTGTGGCTAGATGAGTTTCAGGCTAGCCTAGGCTATATATGAGACCTAGTCTTAAAGCGACCAACAACAAAGCCGGAAAACACAACACAAAAAGTAGACATCTTTAGAGTTCAGAGCTGGTCTTTCTAAAGACACAGGGCCCACCAATTATGGAGGAAAACAGAAAGCCTCCATCCATATTGGTTAAGTTCTATGTGTGGGCAACATTGTGCTGAGCACATTGCTTTTATTAGTTTAATCCTTCTATGAGGCCAGTGCTGTGTGAGTTACATGTCAAAAGGACCCTCTCCTTAGCAATCCCGTGGAGTTGGTATCATTAAAATTTCTACTTCCCCACAGAGAAGAGTGGTGAGGCAGAGAGGTTCAGCTGTTGGCCTAATAATACATGACCCCCTCATCCCCCAGTAGCTCTGGCTGTCCTGGAACTCACTCTGTAGACTAAACTGGCCCTCAAACTCAAGATATCCACCTGCCTTTGCCTCCTGAGTGCTGGAATTAAA